TGTGTGTGTGTGTGTGTGTGTGTGTGTGTGTGTGTGTGTATGTGTGTGTGTGTATGTGTGTGTGTGTGTGTGTGTGTGTGATGCTGTCAACAACGTCCATGAGCACTATTGCGTGGGCGACAACAGCCTCAACAGGAATGTGAGCGACAACACGAAACTGTGGATGTTGACGCCCACAACCTCACTTTAATGCAGACGTCCTTGGCCTCTGCCTCAGTGCGTCCCTCTTTTTTTGGGTGAAAAATGAGAAAAAAAAAAAGTACTGCCCACCTCCCCGCCGGCCTCAGCCTGGCAGCCACTGCCGCGGCACTGGGTGCCAGGCTGAGGCCCGCGGGGACACGGGTAGTCTTTTTTTTTTTCTCATTTTTTCACCCAATTTTTTTTTTTTTAAATTTTTTCAACAGCACAGTACTACCCACACTGACCTGTTCAAACACCCAAAGCCCTTCAACCCCCCCCAGCACCCCCCCACAGGCCCGTAGCACGCTCGTATGGGGAGCGTCCATACGACCGTACGGGCGTCTGTACGTCCGTCCATACGGCCCGTACGGGGACCCCACGTCTCTATGTTTGAAGCCATGCGGAAGTGGACGGGGGGCCAGTAGGGGATTGAGTGTGGAAGTGGTGTGAAGATTGACGAGGAGAACCCTTGAGGCGGTGGACATTAAGGGCGAACGCGATAAGTTGCGCTTGCATGGATGCAAGCGTATTGAGTCGCACGTGCATAGGTGCAAGGAGGACCGCGATGACTCTCTCAAGGTCTATAGGGGCCTAACCGGGGACCACTGGCTGAATGGGCATTTGAGAGTTGGATGAGAGCACAGTGATCTCCTCGAGTGTACTCCCGCCCATATATGGGGGAGGGATGGGAGTTGACATTGTGGAAGGTGGAAAAAGAGGAGGGGACAGAGATGGGCTGGTGTGTGGGGAAAGGGGTCCGTCGGTAAGAGGAAGGAGACCGGGGGAGCGAAGTGGGTAGTCGTGAGTCGGCTCGCTCCGTGATCAGTGGCTCGTGCGTGAGAGGGTAGCAGAAAGTTGGTCGAAGAGAGAGGATTTGTTCGGGTCCAGGGTGCCCGACAGGGAGGAGTCGGGAAAAGAGGCGGGTTAGGAAAACTCTAAATCCTAGAAAAAACTCTAAGAAAACCCTAACTGGAGTTTCGGGGGTGACAGTAGAGTAGCGACGACCCAATCAAGAAAAAAAATAACAATCATGCAGGAAAGGGGAAAAAAGAAAAAATAGATAGTGAATTTTTGAGATAAAAATAAAAAAATAAATACTAAAAAAATAAAGAAAAGTTGAGGAGAAAAATATTTATTTTTTGGAATTTTCGGCAACATTTCCCTACCCCCATAGGGTTAAAAATGTGCCTAGAGGAAGAAGAGACCAAGAGAAGCACACTAATTTTCACAATGCCGCAAATTAAAAATTTTAAATAAATAAATAAATAAGGAGGTGGAGAAGAGTGAAGAGAAAATACGTTTTGAATTTTCTTTTTCAAAAATTTCGGCAGGATTTTGTTATTTCTATGGGGTCGAAGAGTGTCGTCAAGAGGAATGACTAAGTAAAATGGAAAACTTTTGTTAACACTTCGCTACCTCCAAGGGGTCAAAATATGCTGGAAGGAGAGGGTTGGGAGATAAAAGAAAATTTTGGCAGCACTTTGTTACCCCCGAGGGGTCAAAATGTGCGTGGATAGCATAAATAACTAAGTCCTAACAAGATATAGAGGTGCAACAAATAAAATTTTGAATTAAAAATAAATAAATAAATAAAATAAATTAGAAAAGGAGAAAAGAAGTAGGGAATAAGATAATTCGATTTTTTTGAGAAAAAAAGGAAATTTAAATCAAAGAGAAAGACAAAAAAAAAACAAAAAAATTTGAAGGGGGGGAAGGAAAAATTGATGAAAAAAAAAAGAAATAGGTGAGAAAGAGAAAAAGATTGAAGTGGGAGGTGGGGGAGATGATGAGGTTGTAGTTGGGGGAGGGAAGGGGGAGAGGAGGGGGAGAGAATGAGTGAGAAAGGGATGAGAAAGGTGGAGAGGAAAATGAGAGATCAGTGGAAGCAAGTAAGTGAGTAAGGAGAAGAGGGGAGAAAAATATGGTAGCAGATTGGTGAAGAGGGAAGGGTATGAGAGAACAGTGGGAAGGAGAGGAGAGAAGTATGGAAAAGAAGACAGAAGAGTGAGGTAGGATGAGGGAGTAGTGGTAGAGTTAGAAACGATGATAAGATGATGGGGGGGGGAGAGAGAAAATTTGTTGGGGGAGAGTAGGTTAGTGAGTAGGGAGGTTATACCAAGCTTTTAGGTGGCCAAGAATAGAGAACACTACTAAGATCCACATGATCTTAGCCTTCAAGGTGCTGTTGGCCTACTGCCGCAGCAAAAAAAAAAAAAATGATGATAATTTGGGTTTGGCTAAGATCTTGATCAACCACCCAAATGCCACTGTAGTGCAGGCCCCTAGCCAGGGGGTCTTCAAGATCCTCAGCAAGCCATCATGTGGCACTGCAGGCAGCCACCGGTCACGTGCAAAGGCGGCAGCAACCACGACGGGGGGGTGGGGGTGGGCGGGGGTGGGTGGGGAGGTTAAATAACAGTCGTCACTCTTCAACACCAATGTGCCATAGTATTAATTTATATTGTTGCTTTGGCCAGTGTGTTACCGCATTGGGTCGCACGTGCATGAGCAACAATTGCCTAGGTTCAAACCCTGGTGGCAGTATGCAACTTGGATCTCGATATAGATAATCTGGGAATAGGGCGGGGTAGGGCAGAGGGGCGCACGGCGCACGCACGTGCGGCGACCTTGGCCTTGGAGCGTGCAGACACATGTCATTTTCTTGTTGTCTGACATGTGTCGGATTCTCCCATTGCAAAACCTTTATATTTGCGGTTTCTCTCATTTTATTCCGTTGTACGGCTTGAAATTTCCAAACGCAACACGATTATAAAGCCAAATGGAATAAGCTGCTCCTAAAATCGTTCCAATGGCTGCTAATGTTGCCACGTTGGACGCAGCTTGAAAAGCGCCTACTAAAATAAAAAACTCACCAATAAAGCTACTAGTGTCTGACAGACTAATATTGGCTAAAGTAAAAAACAGAAAAATAGTAGAGAAGATAGACATTGTACTGACTAAACCTCCATAATATTTAACAAGTAAGGTTTTATGTCGATCATATAAAGCACCTACACATAAAAAAAGGGCGGAAGAAACCAGTCCATGACTTAACATGAGTAAAATACTACCTTCAATTCCTTGTTATATATTACATTATATATAAAAGAATAATGAAATAAGAATAATAGGAA